TTGGTCTCTTATGGGAGGTTGTTGCCAGTGTCAGGTGACATTTGAAAGCCCAGCACACTGCGGGCTATATTTGAGATTTGTACAGAATACAAAGTGGGGTTGGAGCCTCCTCTTCACAGGAGAGCTGGAAGTATAGTCATCGCTTGCTAGCACAAAACTGAGTGCCTTTTGGGCCCAGCGCGGTGGCCTAGTGGCTAAAGTCCTCACCTTGCACATGCCAAAATCCCATATGGGTGCCAGTTCTAATCCCAGCAGCCCTTCTTTCCATCCAACTCCCTGCTTGTGACCTGGGAAAGCAGTTGAGAACGGCCCAAAGCCTTGGGAGCCTGCACCTGTGGGAGACCTGGAGGAGGCTCTGGGCTCCTGGCTCCAGATCAGCGCAGCTCTGGCCATTGTAGCCACTTGGGAAGTGAATCATTGGATGGAAGATCTTCCTCTCTATCTTCCTCTCTGTATATCTAATTTTCTAATAAAATAAATCTTTTATTAAAAAGCCCTAGTGCCTTTTTCCCCTAATTGTGCACTTTTTTCTTATCTACTAATTATTGGAAAGAGTGACTGCATTGATATTGAGCATACTTTCAATGGTCAGCTTTGTTAGTGATCAAAGGTTATAGTGAAGGTTTTGTAGACAGGTAGCTGAGCACAAAGATTAATACACGGAATCATTGAAACTTTGGGTTAATAAAGAATAGAAGTATGTGTTTTAGGTTATTTGCATAAATAATTACAATTGTATTTGGAAGTAGAGGTGACATTGTTAATCTTGTCAAACGCATACTAGATTTTATTAAATTTCTGCATTTCACTTTTAACTGTCCTGCTTTTATCATAGAAGATTTTGCAGAGAAGAATGTTGAAGAGGAATCCTCCATTTCCATCCAAACACTGAATTCTGCCCCGTGTTTTCTGCCTATGGATTGCATACTGATGTCACATTATCATGCTGAAGTTGTAAACATTTATATTACACAAAGCTCTGTACATCTAGTTTTTGTTTTTAAGGAGGTCTGGAAAGCACAATAAAGTTCTGGTCATTTCCAATTTTAATTGCTATCTTTGGTTTTTTATTTTGTGTTATTGTTTCAGTTTTCCTACTTATCAGAAATATACAAAAGCATGGATTATTTTGCCACTTCCTTGTCAATATTTAGCCAACAAGTGTTCAATGCACAAATTCTGGTCGTCTAAACCCCGGTCACCTACGTTCAACTTGATTGAACTCCCAGTCCAGTTTGTAGACAGATACGTAAAATTGTAATCATAAAGCCAAAACAAAATATTAGCCTGTGTTTAATGTCAGTGTTCAATGCAGCTTGTACTATTTTCTTGTTTTAAATGTGTGGAACATGTTTTGATGTTAATTTTGATGTTGAGAATGATTCACACCTGTGCTGAATGTTGCCTGGACCGCGCAAAGCAAGAATCTCACCCCTTTCCAGGTGTGTGGTCAAGTGCTGGTGGAGGCAGACTTGGGGAGGAGGAAGAAGAGTAACCAGGCAAGGGCTGTGTGCATGAGGGTGTGCCTGCACAGGTGGGCAAGCAGGATTTTATCAGGTGAATGTGCTTGAGACAAGTAATGAGAGCAGACACTGAAGCCTTTATAAGCAGGAAAGAGGGCTCCGGGAGGCTTCAGTCCGCAGGTCAAGCAGAGAAGATGGGGTCCTGCTGTTGTGAGCTGTCCGTGCGGTTTACAGGCGGTGAGAATTTGCCACATGTTTCTGGGTCGGAGGCACTGGGACAGACAAACTGCGCTGAGAAGATCACCTAGGAGAGGTAATGAGGATGGGGCAGGAATTGCTGCTCGTTGTGCAAATAGACAGGGAGCGGGGGAAACGGTGCGAGACCTTGGGAAGAAACATTGAGAGGAGCTGGCCAATTTCTAGGTGCAAAAAAACAGACAAGCCGTGTGCTGCTCTTATGGGACGAATTCTGTTAATCAGGAGTAGAAGTACTTTTGGAGTGGTAGAGACAGGAGAAAGTAAAAAGTGGCACTGGAGAAGGTTGTCAACCAGCAGCGTTGAAGTTGCAATTTTGCTAAGGGTCTCATGCAGATATTTGTTGGCAATGTGGCTGGTGGCAATGTAGAGTGGCTCTTAGAAGAGATTTTCAAGAACTGAGAGGTTTTCCATTATTCATATCTTTGCTTTATTTTCCCGGTTCTGGTGGGAGTATGCAGGCTTTTGCGTGGCACAGCTGCGGGTAATTGTGACACATTGGTTAATTTTGTTGTTTTAAAAGACTGGCTTGCATTTGACTAGGATGTTAAGAGATTTTGCTTTGCTCAAAAGGCCACAGGGATGGCTTTTGCTCAGAAGTTATTTTGAAGGAGACAGTGACAGAAAGGGAGCACGATGCAGACAGAGACCTCCCACCTGCCAGTTCACTTCCCCAAAGCCCACCACAGTCAGGGCTGGGTTAGGTTGAAACTCAGGCAGGAACTTCATCTAGGCCTTCCGCATCGTTCAGTCCTCACCTCCTTAGGCTGCACCTGGTGCCTTCCAGGTGAATTAGATTGAAAGGAGAAATGGGCTTGATCCTGGCACTGCTACAGGACTCCACACAGGTGACCCAAGGAGCAGAACGCCTGTGTTTCAATGCCCACCCCTGAGTACTCCTCTGTAAATGCTAGCTTTGTTCTGCTTAACTGTGCTCCCTGGGCTAAATTCGCAGTTCTCTAGCTCCATTTCCTCTCACTTAGCCACCCCCAGGAGGGTGGTGAGTTCATGCTGGGAAGTGTTTAGAACCGTACCTGGTACCCAAAAGAATACAAGCAGTGTTTTTGATATATGATATGATGAGATGATATGATATAATATGATATGATATAATATGATATGATATAATATGATATGATATAATATGATATGATATAATATGATATGATATAATATGTGACATAATATGATGTGACATAATATGATGTGACATAATATGATGTGACAAAATATGATGTGACAATATGATGTGACATAATATGATATGATATAATATGATATGATATAATAGAATATATAATATGATATAATATATAATATGATATAATATATATTATGACATTGGATAAACTGAAGTCCATTTGGTTTTATTGTGATGAGGAGAGTTCAAATCATGAGTTGCTGTTGATCAGATCTGAAGGCAGGTGTGAGTGGGTGCCGTTACTGGGTCCGTGTCTGCTTACCATCTTGCTGGTCTGGAGAATTCAGTTCCAAAAGTCGCGGTATCTCAAATATAGACTGGCTTATGCATGGATGACATGAAAACATGGCAGACAAATGGTCAATCTATGGAATACAGTGTGTTTTCACAGCAATTAAGAAATCACTCCCTCCCCGCCCCCACCGCACACACACTTTAGTTTTCTGTCTACTTACTTCCAATGAAGAATATAATTATGACCCAGCAGAACTGTTGCAGCAGGACCTCAGTTCTCAGAGGGCTAGTAACTCAAATCTCTCCCGATACAGACAAAATAAGACTGAACTTTTTTCTGAAAAAACATATCTTAGAATTAGCTGTGAAGTTTATGCTGGAGACTAAGGGGGAGATAAAGCACTGGCCTAACTACTACTACGGTATTCTCAAACTCCTAGTCTTTTAAAAGCATCTATATTTTAGTTTATTTAGCCACTCTAAATGTTATAATACAGCTTTCTTTATTTCAGTCGTACTCCCCAAATTTGTATTAGTTGAAACATTAGAAATATATGTTCTGATGCTATAATATTATGTTTTATCTTCCCGAATGGCAAAACCATCTAAACCACTGTCTGCATAAAATAGTGTCATTTTAAGAATTATTAATTTTTTATGACATGCAGAAAAGCCAACACTGGTGTGTATTTTGATTTCTCAAATCCTTAAGATCCTCCGTGAACAGTTTTTAAGTTTTTTTGCATTGGTATGTCCTGTGTCCACCTTTTTATAAGTCCTGGTTTTTCCTGTTGGTTCTGGGATGCTGGTTTTCATCATCCAGCGTCAACGCCTGGTTTGACAGTATAATCACATTTGCATGTTTCATTCAGCTCCTGAAGAGCGAAGCCAGTTGCCATGGCGAGGATTATAAGTCCAAGTTGTGAGATGGGGATGACCTTTGCAAAACTCATATGTAAATGTATTTGTAGAGAGAACAGCAGGCTCTTAGTGAGGCGATCACTAGCTGCAGTGTTGCCCTGTTCCATGATGGATGCAATGAGAAATCCATGACACCTTGGCTTTGTTGCTGTTGTAAGGAACTGTCCACTGCCTCGTTTGTTGTCCAAGAACCTGATTCTACATTGCGTAGTTTCCCTGTCCTTTTTAGTTAAATCGACAGTTTGATTTACAATATTTGTCTCATTTGTCCTGTCACCTCAGATTGGGCCATGCTGTAGAGCTTGTTGCCCTGCTGGGAAGTCTCAGTTCCTGTTCTTTCTCCCCTGTAGAGGGAGCCCAGGCATCTTTGGTGCTTCTGGGGGAGTTAAGAGGGCCCTGTAGCTGTCTTGGTGATGGTATCCAAGTTGTCACTTTCTTGAACATTGTAAAATTCGAATGTTTATATAAGGCTATTTTTAAACATGGGCTTTTTGTCATTTGGGGGATAGTTATCTCCTAAAGTACAAGGAAAACTTCTTAAAGCTTAAAGAATAGTGAGTTTCCTAGACAGAAGATTGTAAAATGCTGTACTGCCATTCTGTGTGGTAACAGCAGACAATATTTTACAAGTTAAATGTTAAATAGCTGAATTCATTTGATTTAAAGTAATATATATATTACTTTATATTATACTTATATATATAAAGTATATATATACTTTATATTATACTTATTATTTTATATATAAAATGTCAGTTTGTACAGCAGACTACCACATAGTCACTATCTTCCAAGTAATAATAGCAGAGGAACTTGGATCACATGAAATAACAGGTGTCATGTCTGCAAAATGTTCTCTTCTGAAAAAATGAAAGCAAAACTGCCGGTACATGGTGAGGCTCACGGTGACTGTGTTTGCCTTTCAGATCCCCAGCTCAAGGGCATAGTGACCAGGTTATATTGCAGGCAAGGCTACTACTTGCAAATGCACCCCGATGGAGCTCTCGATGGGACCAAGGATGACAGCACCAACTCCAGTAAGTGCCACCACGCCCCCCCTCCCCTGCACCTGTCACAGCAGGTGATGCTGGTGCTAACACTGCAGTGCACCTGTGCAGTAAATCACCCTACCACTACTAACCACTGAAAAACGTGTCGGTACATGTGCTTAAAACACAGGTGACAACTGTGATTTTAACTACACTAGAAATTAATCCTTTCCGCTTGAATGGTCATATTTGGAAAATTTCTATCTTAATCTCATTATCGTATCAAGTCAATGTACTAGTATATTCAGAGGCAAATTTACTCTGGAAATATTGATTTATAGAACCAATAAATTCTCGATGATACCTGTGGAAATTTGAGAGCTACAGGATTAAGTTGTTTCAAGTAGTAGAAATTGTGAAAAATTTTTCTTTTAAAAAGAAAAAGTTTTTATAAATCAGAAGAGTTGCATATATATCTAATTCAGGCTTGTGATTACTTAAATATACACCCTACATCTTCCTTTTACTGTTTATGTATAACTTTTCTTTGAATTCTCTAATTTGTGGCCTTCCTTACTGACATCTTCCTTATGACAACTGCTCTAAATACACAATAATCTGTGCTCAGGAGAACTACTGCAAAGCAAAATCTCACCCAGTACAGTGGCTCAATTGGTTGATTCTCTCCTTGCAGAATGCTAGGATCCCAGGTGGGCAGTGCTTCATGTCCCAGCTACTCTTTCTCATCCAGCTTCCTGCTTGTGGCCTGGGAAAGTGGTGGAGGATGGCCCAAAGCCTTGGGAGCCTGCACCTGCATGGGAGACTGGGAAGAAGTTCCTGGTTCCTGGCTTTGGATTGGCTCAGATCCGGCTGTTTTAGACGTGAACCAGCAGATGAAGATCTTTGTGTCTCCTCTCTGTGAATCTGCTTTTCCAATAAAAATTTCCCTTTCTAATAAAAGTAAATTTTGCCCTTCTTAAAGATTAAGAGTCAGATACCATTAGTGGCTTAGGAATACAGATGAATTTTCCACTCGTTTTATTAGTGAAATAAACAATTATAAGCACTTCCTGCTTTACATTCTAGCAACCACTGTTTTAAGGAACAGTAATTCTGGGAATATTTAATGCCACAAAAAAACAAAACCGCCTTTTGAATTTGGTATTATGAAGTACTGATAATTTCCCAGTCATTGTCTATTTTCTTCCATATCCCTTTGCATTATTTCTGATATTATGAGACAGAGGGAAGCACACACTCAAACATACACATCCTTACACTCACACACAGACACGCGATAGTGTGTGCCCATCCTCTTATCCACTGGATTCCCTTGGAGTCGATCCAGGTCTCCATGTGCACAGCAGGATCCAAAGTTTGAGACAGCAGCTGCTCCTTGCAAGTGTGCATTCGGAAGAAGCTGCGATGCAGAGCAGAACAGACACAGCACTGTGACAGAGGCGGGCATCGCAGGTTGGCTCTTACACACTCTTCAACGTTTCATTTATTTTATCTGTACTATTCCATCTTTATGCATCTGTGTCTAATATATGCACTTTTTTTAAACATTTCCAAGTCCTTATTTACTAATACTTATAACTTTACCATCTCTTTGGATTTGGGGAAAAAGCAAATGAACAAAGTGAGACAGAAATGTTTGTTTTTCATTATAACTATGCCAGGTGTTTCCCTCTTGATTTTTAAATTAGTCTAGACTTTGAAAGTGTACAACAACTTGACCATTTTTGAACTACAAAAGTTTTCAATTACTTACCTTTTTTAAAAAAGAGATTTAATTTTATTGGAAAGTCAGATATACAGAGAGGAGAGACAGAGAAGAAGATCTTCTGTCTGATGATTCACTCCCGAAGTGACTGCAATGGCTGGAGCTGAGCCAATCTGAAGCCAGGAGGTTTTTCCAGGTCTCCCACATGGGTGCAGTATCCCAAAGCTTTGTGCCTTCCTCAACTGCTCTCCCAGGCCACAGGCAGGGAGCTGGATGGGAAGTGGAGGCTGCAGGGATTGGAATCGGTGCCCATTTGGGATCCCGGCGTATTCAAGGCCAGGACTTTAACCACTATGCTGTCGCACCAGGCCCAATTGCCTACCGTTTTACCCATATTTTTTGAAAGATTATTTTTTTACAAAAAATTCAAGAGTTACAGAGAGAGAAAGAGAATCTTCATCCCTTGATTCCCTCCCCAAATGCCTGCAGAGGCTGGAGCTGGGCTGACACTGGGAGTGAGGAGCTTCCTTTGGGTCTCCCACTGGGTACAGTTGCCCAAGGTCTTGGGCCATCCTCTGCTGCTTTCCCAGGAAGCTGGGTCTGATGCTGAGCCAGTACTTGAACCAGCACCGAGTGGGATACTAGCACCATAGAGAAATCTGCCGTCTTTTCCCGTCCTTTTCTCTACAGCGTTTGTTGAAAGGCATTCCTGTTTTCTTGCCTTGAGTTTGTTCACATCAGTTTAATAGTGTGTGTGACCTAATTTTCTGTAACTGATCAGTCTATGAGCTATCAGAGCCGGGTTTATCAGACTTGTATAGCAAAAGTTTTCAAGAAAGAAAATTGCATGGAAATGCTGTTTCCTTGGACTTCTTAGAAAATGCTTTGTCACTGTTTTCATACATTTTCATATTTACTAATTTTGATTATGACATACTAGTTGATAACATTTACTGGTAAAAATCATTACTACATTGAGAACTATCAGACACTATCTCTTTTAGAAACATGTTACTTTGGAATTGCATCCAGTGGCAGTAGAGGTGCTAAATGGTGAGTGTGCAGGCGTAGATGTTCTATGCATCCACAGTGGCGCTGCTCACCGGTGTGTTACTGAACACTGCGCTGGAAGTGGATACTAAGAGACACTTGATCTTCTGAGACTGTGCCCTCATGCACCTGCATGCAAAGCCATAGGAATCCTTGGGTAACTCATGATATCCTCTGTGGCCTTCTAGTGCTGCTGTGACAGGCCTGCGGATGCCACCGGTAGGAAGGATCGGCAGGAAACCAAATCAGAAGCAAATCCTAGTGTGGCTCCAGAGCCACCGTTCCCAATGCAAAGATCAGGCCCGCAGATCCTTTGGTTACAATTACATTGCGTTTTATGTGTCCTGAAAGCTGTTTGGTTAGTTTCATTACCAGTTCAACATTTGTAAAGATATACTGAGGTTCAGATGAAGATTCTCTTCGGAAAAAGCTATGTGAGTAGCATGAGTATAAAATGCAGTAAAAATTGGCAGTATTATTACAGAATTATGAAAGCAATGGGAATTACTAATTAACTTTCACTGTATACCCAAAGCTTTTAAAATTGTAAAACACCACCTTTAGGATGAGTTTTAACATAATTTTGCCTCTAGCTTGTTAGAGTAGTTTTGTGACTATTAAAGTCAAAGCATTGCAAATAGACATGTGTGTTAGAAACGCAGGTATTTGTACACTTAAGCTGCACTTAGGAGCTGTACATCCTCTGAACGATCTAATGGACACAATATGGCTTTTGTGTTGGAAGGGAAGTTCCCAATGTGTTTCAGATTCCTGAGAGTTTTAAAATGCTTGAAAGGTAGCAACACCCCAAGGGAAATAAAAAAGAATGTTCCCTTTCTTCAATTCCTTCCTTCCTGGGATAGGGCCCAACCAAATTAGGGACCAAGCATTCAATCCAGGTCATGCCACAGGAGTGGCACGAACCCAAGCCTTTGAGTCCTCACTGCTGCCCCAGGATTTATATGATAAGAAAGCTCAAGTCGGAAGCCAGAGCCAGGTGTGGACCTCAGACAGTCCAATCTGAACTGCAGGTACCATAACTGCCAGGCGAAACACCTGTCTCTGTCTTCTGTTTTCCATAATTGGCTGAATTCAAGACAAGGATTCATCTTCCATCAGTTGGAAAAACAATAATTTGAGATGCTAAAGCTTGGGTACCACCAAGCAAGGCTTGAGCCCTCAAATGCTCAAGATTTGATATAAATGCATTTCCCTATTACTAGTCATTATTAGAATGAATAATCATTTAGAATGCGGGTATATTCGAACCATGTGACTAAGATGTCTTTATCAATACTTCAAGAAAAAGCAAAGCCTCAGCGTTGAGGTGTGTGGCTTGCCAGGTATGTCTGTATTCTCTCCAACTGCTCTGGTTTTATCCTGGCTCCTGGGTCCAGCTGCCTGCCGTGGTGCACCTGGGTGGCAACAGTGGTGGCTCAAGTGATGGATCCTGCCACCCACGTACAAGACCCAGGTTGAGTTTCAGGCTCCAGCTCCCCTGCTAGCTGTGACTGCTGGAGGCATTTGGAAAGTCAGACAATATATAGCTGCTTTTGCTGTCTGTCTTTTCTCCCTTTCCTCCCAAAGAATAATTAATAGTAATAAAGACAAAGCCATAGGCAGGTGAACTTTCTGCCCTCCAAGGGTGTCTAGCCTCAGACCCAGAATGCTCTGGGAATGAAAAGGGCAAGAAAGCGATTGGTAATGGGCACATGGCCCTGATGGAAATGATGCTGTCATGTCTTGACTGCTTCTTACAGACTGGCACATGACAGAAAGATCAGTCCCAAAAGGAAGTGGTCCCTCATGACTTTATCGCTACACACACTGAGGATTCATTGAAAATTCCTCCAAAGCTCAGCGTTACCTGAATTACAGTAGTTTAACAGGGAGTAATTTGCCTTCTCCCCAGTTGGCTTTCGGAATGCCATGGTTTGTCCATGCTGTCAGATTTTGTCAGTGTTCCTCAGTGGTGTAATACAGGCGCCAACGGACTGATGACTTCCTTCTCCCCCCTAAGCTACTGGCACCTGCAGGGCTTGGCAGTGTGTCTCACCTGGGCATGCTGGGCTACTGGCACCTGCAGGGCTTGGTAGTGTGTCTCACCTGGGCATGCTGGGCTCCTTTGAGGAGGTATAAAAGCATCCGTTCCACCCTATACTGACTCAGAGGCTCTGGCTTATCAGATCTGGCAATCCTATTTTTTGAATACAGCTAGTTTTACTTTTGAATGTCAATGCCACACGGAGAACTAGAGCGTCCTGTGGCATCCACAAAGTCCCATTAACATCTTCATCAGTCACTCTCCCCTAGGCTTTTGACAATGCTTTTTAATTATGCAAAATACAGGGCATAGCAAATATAATGATGTCTCAATGTGGGTGTCTGACTGTAAGAGGCACTGCAAATCCATCACTTCCAACTCTGAGTAATCCCCCACGCGCAGTGCTAACACAGGTTCACGACTTAGGCTCACTCTGTAAATTTTACAGATTGGTGTTTTATATTTCAAGTCTCAATCAAAATTCAAAGATAAAAATGTTAACTTTTTAATGTAGTTTTTACACCATCTGCTAAAATGTATCTGTTTTCCGTAGCTCATTATTTTGGTGTGTTTGAAAATATGTGCCTTGTAGATTACACTATCTGGCTTCTTAGCAGAGCATAAGGGTTAACTCCATTACATTTGAATAGTTTGGCTTCAAGCAGCTGCTCAGACACATGCAAATAGTTTTCTCCCCAAATTTTGCACATAAATAAAAAGTTACCCAATGGTGCCTATAAAAGTATGAAGAAAATGATACATCACCTAAGCAAGGTACACAGAAGTAAATGCAGTCGACCTCAGTACACAGTACCTGTGCTACTCTGCTATTCCACACACACATTTAATAGTAATAGAAAGGAGCAAAATTAAGCCTTATTTTCTCATAAAGGTCTTATAATTTGTCAGAATCATGGAAAAGACACTCTGGATTTTATAGGGATAGTTATCAATCATAATGGCTTGCTAAACATCTTTTAAAGAGATTTTTAAATTCAAATTTTTTATTTGAAAGGCAAAATTGCTGAGCAGAGAGATAGATGCTTCAACTGTAGCCACAAAGGCCAGAAATGCGCTCACCTGCAGGAGCTTCTGGGTCTCCCACACGAGTGGAGGGTCCCAAAGACTTGGGCCATTGTGTGGTTCTTTCTCAAGACATAAGCAGAGAGCTAGAAAGAAGTAGAGCAGCTGGGATATGAACCGGCACCATATGGCCTGCTGGTGTCGCAGGGTTGAGGGTTAGTCTATTGAGCCATGATGCCAGTCACAGTTTAGACATCTTGAGACCTTGGAAGAATAACATGAAATTAGTGGAAGAGAAGTTGTAACTTTTTCCCACACTAACATGAGAAAATATGTCCCTGAAAGTAACCAGGATTAATTTACAAAGTCCTGCTTTCATTGGGAAATAAGCATACCTTAAAAATGCAGTCAAATTGCTTATATGTTCCAATTGAGGTGTAAGAGTAGATCCTAAAGTTATTTCCCTCGTGTTTACTTCAGTATTGTGGTACCTGTTATAGTTGAGATTTATGACTTAGCAAAGAACTCAAATGGCAGCATACACCCTCACTGTCAAAAATAAGTAGCTCTTGGACCCAGAGCAATGGCTCATATGGCTAAATCCTCACTTTGCAAGCACCTTGATCCCATATTGGCATCAGTTCATATTCTGGCTGCGCTGCTTCCAGTCCAGCCCCTACATATGGCCTGGGAGAGCACTAGAGGATGGCACGAAACCTTGGAACTCTACACCTGTGTGGGAGACTAGGCCTGGCTCTTGGTTTCAGAGGGGTTCAGCTCTGGCCATTGCAGCCATTTGGAGAGGGAACCAGCACTGCTCTTCTTTTCCTCCATAAATCTGATCTTTCAATATAAAATGCATATTAAAAAATAACAGCTCTCTTGATTATGTGTGTAATAATGTCTCACAAGTCATCAAGCGGCTCTCTAAGAGTGGTTCTGTTAGACTCACTAAACAGGTTACATGGAACACCACCTGGGAAAGCGTGACAGATATTGAAGCTTAAAATTAACTCATAGTTAACCTCACTATGAATAAAATCATAAAAATACTTAAATGTATCAACAATGTAAGGAATAAGACATAGAAACTTAAATGAGTGTTTACCTACTAGGTGGGAAAATCAGACATTTTCCCCTGTTATGAAATGGTAAATTAAAAATAGTAATAAAATGAACACTAAAATTTACCTGCCGTTCAGTTTGATTAGCTCTTTCTAAATTTAGCCCATCAGCAGGTACACATCTTTCCTTGGCATTGCTAGCATATCCTGTTTCCTCTGCAGGAGTAATTTGGTTTGCAATTGCATTTTTAACTTCTGGCCTGTACTGTATTGCATTGAAAAATCATTCCAGTGGCCTGAATAACCAAAATAAACAGTGAACCTGGACATTTGAAAGTCTGCACTTGGAGAATCTTCATGGTTGATTTCATTTGGCACCGAGAGATATCTGACATATCGATTCGTGAATCGTGGTTCTAGGTGTGATTTTTCTTAATCTCGCAGCCTGTCAGAATGCTGCAAGCAAGACTGCCAGAAGATTTGCAAATAAAAGTTGATGTGCTAATTTTACCCATAGAAGAAATGCCTTCATTACTAAGAGAAATAAGCCATTTAACTGAAGTTGCTCAGAATGGAGAAACACAGATCAAGTCTCTCAAATAAATGTGAGACAAACTCGTTTGGGTGGGGCCTTGCTTGACAGCCTGTGCTTGCCGTTGCAGCTCTGTTCAACCTCATCCCCGTGGGACTGCGCGTTGTTGCCATCCAGGGTGTGAAGACAGGATTGTACATAGCCATGAATGGAGAAGGTTACCTCTACCCATCAGTAAGTACCGGCCAAACCATTGGCCTGACCGAGCACAGCAGCACTAGTTCTGTGTGTGTGGATTCTGCCATGTTTTCCATAGTGTCTGGGTGTTACTAAAATGCTGCAGGTCCTCCTTATCCATCATGTCGGGCAGAATGAATTACCTGGAAGACTTGTCTCTAACAGTGTGTTGATCATAATTTTCTAAAATAAGCTAGTTAACAGAATACTGATTTGTTTGGAAAGGGTTGCTCTTAATGGTTCTATTTAGAAAAGTGCCGGGCTGAGATAATTGTTTGTCAATAATTATTTATTCACATTTTTTGGTCACTTTGTTCTTAGTTGACAATGTTGTTTACTGCCAGCCACCAGCTTCCTTCTCTATTTTAATGGGATCTACAGCTTTTAGATTCAATATATACCATGTGATGCTACTCAAGAAGTCTAAACATTTTGATAAATGAGACAGTATGAATTGAATTCTGAAATCTGAGAAAGGTAGCGTGCTTGAAAGATACATATTCAAATGCATAGATATTTTACTGGAGAAATAATTATAATATTGAGACGGATATTTGATGTAAAGCTAAGTATTAAGTGTCAGGAAACAAGCATGCATGCAGAGAAGAAATGAGCAAATTCACAGCGGACTTGGATTGATTGTCATCCGAAAGGGGGGCTGACTGGGCGTGCAGGCAGAAGCAGCACATGGTACGGGCTTGGTGTTTCCTTCAGCAGGCATGGCTTTTTACCATTTCAGGGTATTGGGGTGTTTGTGTGTTTGGAAAGTTTGGTGAATTCTGAAAAAATAGGTAGTGTGCAGAGACTTGGAGCAGCTTTCTCGGGCGTTCCAAGCCTTGTTCCTAGCAGGGTGAAAGCAAAGGTGGAGCCAGAGTCCCTGGTGGGGCACAGGGGTGCGGGGGAGCAGCCCCTGGAGCTCCCGCGCTGGAACCCAGCACTAAGTCTCTTTTTTTCTTTGGCATTAATGCTTATTAGAAGTTGAACACATCTCTATACCGTTGTGACACTTTCTGGAATATTTTCTGCTTACAAATAGCTTGTATTCATGCATGCTGTAACCATATGCTATAATTTGGAGTTAATTTTTACTACAAGTCTAAGAATTGATTAAAGTATTTCTGCTGTTCCTGGAACATAAATTGATTAGATCTGAAATGCCTTGAAATATACTCTTGGGGTTGAAATTTATGTGCTCATTAACTCTTTAAAACACTCTATTTAGTGTCGCCAACAAAAGTCTATACACAATTGTACAAATACCATGTATTCATACATAGGAATATATACATACATCTGTACAAACACACAGCACACAAAGAGTCATTCAAAAGGTCATGGAAAATGCATACTAGGTAAAAACTGTACGTGGACTTCGTAAAGTTTGCAACGATATAGTCTAATTCCACTTTCTGTGAGCTGTTCGAAGTCCTTTGCAATCTTCGAACCTTCTCTGGGGTCTTTACCAGAAAAGCTGGGGTTTTTGCTTCAGCCACTCTGGGAAATCCTGTCACAGAGAGCTGTGCAGCAGCTGTGGATCTCCTTCCCCGTGAGCTAAGACAGCCCAGGGGCCCTGCTGCTCTGGGCTCCTTATCTAAGTCCCTGGAAGGGTGCTCATGCTCTGGGTCTTACATTATGCAAATTATGCATGCATGGTGAGCAAGATCCAGCTGAAATTCCCTAGGTCTTTGTGGTAAAAAAAGGAATTCAATAATGCCTACCAAGATCCCTTTTAGAGATGACTTATTTCAGACATAAGTCAATGTTATTGATTGGACATTTGTTCTGTTGCTTTGGTTCATCTCCCTATGGCTCTTACTTTTCCCCAATAACCCCCTAGAAGTGAAAAGATGATAAAATCTAGTAACTGCTGGAACCTCCGATTCGCTTCCTGTTGGTGATTCTATCACATTGAGCTCTGGTGATGAAGTTGTAATCAAAGGACTGAAATCTGAGGGAAGTGCATTTGCATGCTGTTAAAAGCCACAACATGCCATTTTCAGCCTGTGTCTCAGCTTAGAATAAAATACTAATTGTGTTCAGTATAGTTGAGGCAGCAAAGCAGGAGCAAAAGCAGGTTGCCAATTGCTCTGTGGAAGGCCAGTGGCTTAAAGGGTCTCGGAAAGCTAGCTGTGGGTCTCCTGGAATGATTCAGGCTCATCCCCAGATGCACTGTCTTCCACCTGGCCTCCCTCATTCTCTCTTTTGGCTTCTTGGCCTCTCCTCTAGGGGCACGGATCTCTGACCTGGAGATCCTGTTTTTTTTCCTTTTGATGTGGAGTTGGTGAAAAGGTCTTTAATTTGCCCGGTTCCATTTGGGAGGAAAGAACTTTCTGCCTAGCTAGCCTTTTGTCTTCCCTAGCCATTTTGAAAGAAAAGGACTTAGATGGAAAGCAAAAGTGACTTTGAGTCTTTAATACTCTGCAGTTAGTTTGTTTCATGATGATACAATTTGAACTTCAAATATTTGATATAAAGAGATTTTCTCCATAATCACTTATTCCATAATTAGTGGCTGGGCAAATACTAAAATAAACAAGACTACAAGTTATTACTTATAATAATCATCATGACTCATTTATATGACAATAATAGGGCCAAATCTCTAGCACAATTCTAAGTATTTTCAAAGGGTTAGCTCCTTCAATCCTCCCAAAAGCCATTTTTTAAATAAAGCCAATGCTGTTAAAAAGAGAATATATGCAGAGTTTAAGAATCTGCCCCAGTGTCCCAGATAGTAGCTAGGAAGGATGGGGTTTGATTATACATGGTGTGACTCATTGGCTTGCATTTAACTACTTTACTATACCACTTCCATGTGCCAGACGTTTCTTATAATATGGTCTGGCACCTATTCTAGCAAGAACTTATAAGCACATGATGATGTAATGAAAAGCTCGAGGGAATTGTTACCTAGGAAATAGACTTCATTTCAGGGCAATGATTAAGAGGCATAGTTGGAAATTTAATGAATCTCATTGGAGACTTGTGAATAAAAAAATGATAGGAAATATATTTGTTAGCGTGAAATGAGATTTTATGTAATGGGTGTTTAGTGTTCCTGAACTTTGGTTCATTTAACATTAGAACTTTAAATTGCAAAAAAGCCTTGACAAAAATGGTTAACCCAAGTTTAGAAGTTCTGAACTAAATTGGATACTTTCTTCTAATATAACAACTGTTGTCAAGTTCACATTTATAGAAAAAAGCTTGAAGACTTAAACCTGGCCAATGAAAAATTGGTTTAAACATCTAACAGCTTTAAAGAAAATGTTAGTTGTTGTACGGCCTAAACTTGTGTCTGTTGTGGTAGTGACTTCATTGAGGGCTTGTAGTTGTGGAATATGGGCAATGAAACAATTAGACCATTCAAAGTCGTTTCTGTTACATGATAATCACAGTTGTGGTTCTCCTCTGTTGTTCAGGAAGAAATTCTCCTAATTACTTGTGAGCCAATAAAGGCAATCAGTTTATCAGATAATTCATAGTTTTGACTGAGATGTAAATAAACAGCACCATTTCTCCTGTGCAAGGCGGTCACTCCCTGGGCAGTCACTCCCTGGGCAGTCACTCCCTGGGCGGTCACTCTCTGGGCAGTCACTCCCTGGGCGGTCACTCAATGGGCGGTCACTCTCTGGGCGGTCACTCCCTGGGCGGTCACTCCCTGGGCAGTCACTCCCTGGGCAGACACTCCCTGGGCAAGCTTCTGCGTAGAATGACAGCAGTGACTTCTTCTGTGGTCAAGATGATTGTACTGTGCTGCTTCAAGCATGTCCAGGAGGTTCAAAATCAGATGCAAACGGTCAGCTGACATGTGAACCCAGGCTTACCAGGTCCTAGAACAGAAACCAACAAATAGTATTGTTGAAGAAATAGACAGGAAACATGACATCAAAGGGCACAAAAAATTAATTTATCTCACCAGCTCACGATTAGAGGACTGAGAGAGGAAGAGCCAAATTTTTTGTTTTGTTTTTTTGTTTATCTAATCAACCTGTGACTTTGAGTGACTAAGAAATTAAAACTCAACATTTGGAGGAAGAAAAGGCAGATGACAGAACAGGAAAACCTCTGAGCTCCCCAGTGAACGCCTGCCCTCTGTTGCCAGAGCAAAGCCTGACCCCCAATGCCAGGTTTGCCTACCCATCTTCACAGCCATACAATTTCCCTTGGGGACACTCAGTTTGGAGTTTGAAATTCTGATTTCAATGTGATCTTTTTTTCCTGAATGAAGAGATATAAGTTTTTTTTTTAAGATTTATTTTTATTATTATTATTTTTTATTGGAAAGGCAGATATACAGAGAGGAGAGACAGAGAGGAAGATCTTCCGTCCAATGATTCACTCCCCAAGTGAGCACAACGGCCGATACTGTGCCGATCCAAACCCAGGAGCCTCTTCCGGGTCTCCCACGCGGGTGCAGGGTCCCAAGGCTTTGGGCCGTCCTGGACTGCTTTTCCAGGCCACAGGCAGGGAGCTGGAAGGGAAGCGGGGCTGCCGGGATAGAACCGGCACCCATATGGGATCCCAGGCATGCAAGGTGAGGACCTTAACCACTGTGCCACCGCGCCGGGCCCGAGATATAAGTTTTACATAAAAATATACCAAGATTCATTAGTGTTGTGTTGTCACAGGCTGGAATTTATGCAGATCTTTTCTTCCTCATGGTGCTACTAGTATTTCTATGATATGGACACCATGCATAGGGAATCAGTCCTGGGGTTCTCATTGTCATCTCTTAATCAGTTGTATTTTGGCGGAGGGAAAAACCCTTCTCATGCAGGTTTGTTAAATAAACCAAGATAATGCACTAACACGTGGATTTGCCGATGTTAGGGATCAGGGAATCACTAGGAGAGCCAGGACAATGCAGATTGTTTGGGTGAACTTCTGTGTATTTCAGTCCCGTGTGTCTGTTGGAGTGACCCAGTAATCTGCAGCTTAAAAGGGGCACCTGTCGTTCCTTCCGGTGACTCTGAAGTTGATATTCTTGCAAGTCT